GGGATTTGCCCTGAGCGTAAGGCTCAGTCCGCTGAGGCTGGAAGGGGCTGGTCCCTGCACGCAGGCGCTTTGTGACATCTGCTTGTCTTCCTGAGGCTCTGTTTTACCAGTGCCTGTGACGCCAAAGGGTCTCCATTGCTAAGATCAGATGCAGATCCACCTGAGTGACAGAGGACTGCTCCAACTGGCTTTGACTTCCCTGGGATTGCAGACATGGTATTTCTTCAGGAACTGCCCTCTTAGCTGCCCCTCACTGCTAATAATGTTTTGTGGCTTAGTATTCCAGTTGCCAAAATTCTCTCTCAAAATATTTTAGCTTGCTTCCCCCAGATGCCCAGCCGACTTCCTCAGGTGCGTCATAAATCTCCAATCCAGATCCTGCTCTTATAGATCTTCCCCATACACTCCTCACTGTGGCACAGTGTGAACTATCCACTGATTAATGTCACTTGTGTGTCTATAACACAGCCTTCGACCGTGGTGACGTCAAGATAAATCATTGTTCAGAACCTGTTAGATGGCAGAAGCCAGGGACCTCAGTGTGACCTCTTTATTTTATAGGTGAGGACAACAAAGCCCAGGAGGTTAGGGGACTTTCTCAAGGTCACACCGTCAGAAATTACCTGACTAAACTGGGGCTAGACATCAGATTTTCTGCTTTTTTTTTTTAACTTCAGTTTTCTTCCTAACTTACCAAAAGCTATTTATTTGCATATTTTTATTAACAATTTAAAAAAACTTAAAAAGACTGGGGCACCTGGGTAGCTCAGTTGGTTGAGTGTCCAACTTCGGCTCAGGTCTTGATCTCATGGTTAGTGAATTCAAGCCCCGCATAGGGTTCTGTGCTGACAGCTCAGAGCCTGAAGCCTACTTCTGATTCTGTGTCTCCCTCTCTCTCTCTGCCCCTCCTCTGCTTGTGCTCTGTCTCTCTCTCTCAAAATAAATAAACATTAAAAAAATTTAAAAATTGTAGTAAAATATGCATAACAGGATTTACTGTCTTCACCATTTTTAAGTGTACAGTTGAATAGTAACTTCTCCAGAACTCTTTTCCTCTTCCCAGAATGAAACTCTGTGCCCACCAAACACTAACTCTCTCCTTCCCCTCAGTCTCTGGTAACCACTCTACTCTGTCTCTATGAGTTCTGACTCCTCTAGGTACTTCATGTGTGACCATTCCATGTTCGTCCCTTTGCGTGATGGCTTATTTCTCTCAGCACAACGTCAGGGTTCATCCATGTTGTAGCGAGTGTCAGAACTTCCTACATTTTTATGGCTGAATAATCTTCTATCGGGCGTGTATAGCACAGTTTGTTTATCCTCTCATCTGTGACGGACACTCAGGTTCCTCCCACATTTTGGCTATTGGGAGTCGCGCTGCTACGAACATGGATGTACAAATATCTGTCCACCGAGAAGTATTCCTTATGCATTTAAGTTTAGAGACATTTGCTGCTGCCCACCTTTGTCACTCATCTTTCTTTCTTTTTTTAATGGAAATTTTGAAAAATACAAAAAAGCACCATGAAGTATATAAAAGTCATGGATTTTTATGGTGATATATGTTTACGGGATATCATTTTCATGTTCCCCATGATTTCAAAAGTTTGTACATCCTGAGAGAGAATTTTAACTGATAGTCCCATCTCTGTGGTAGGGTCAACACTGGAAATGTATTTAAGGCACCGAGAGCATGAACACGGAATGTGACCTTGGCCAGCCCCAGACTTCCAGAGAGGAGTTCCCAGCCTTCCAGAGAGGAGTTCCTTCAAAGTATGATCTCACTCTAACAGTCCACAGAGGGAGCTCTTTGTGGTGGGCTTCCTTAAGACTGTATTAGTAGAGCAGGTTACTGCTAAGAGTCAGAATATTTGAACCAGGGTCTTTTCCCGGTCACATTTCTCAGATCTCCACTAGGGGGCAGTAAAAGACACCTAAAATTTTCCAGAGGCCGGATGAGCGCCCAGCAATCAGGCCACCACATCCTGTTTGCATCTCTTTCAGCCATCCGTGCATAGTTACAAGATAATGGATTTCACGTCCAACAGCAGCTCTGGGTAAAACTGGAGATACCATCAGCTGTAACCTACGTGCAGGTCTTCCTCACATTCAGGCTAACATCAATGCATAAAACTTCATTCGCTATGTTGGTCCCAGATTCTATTTTTATTTAATTCACGTTTAGTTCAGCGATTCTCAAGCTGAGGGAACATCAGAATCACCCATCATACTTTTTCTAAAATACACGTGCCCAGTGCTCATCCCAGATCTATTCAGACTCTCCTGGGCGGAGGCCTAGTTATACGGACTATGTTTTTATTCTGGTCCTCGAGTTCTTGCTAAGAACCAGTGCATTCATGCTTGGCTCTAATAACTGGAGGGAAAGGGCCACCCTTGAGTAAAACCCCAGAGGAGAGTGAATGTGAATTCTGGAAAATCTCTTTCCCTTTCAAAAATAGAAGTCACTGAAGGATCTGGTGGCTATGGGAACCCCATTTGGAGGAGCTGGGATGCTTGTGCCTCTACTGGAAGAAGCTAGGAGCCTAGGAGAAGCTCTGAAACTGGGGAAGTCCTGCATCTCTGGTTACCCTTCGAGAAGGCCATGTTCAGGGGCCAAACCCCTTATTGTACAGCCAGAGCTCAGATCCCAACTGTCTGCTGTATTAAGAGAATCTTTCCTAAGGTACTCAGGAGAAAGAGGCCTTTAGTTTTATGTTTTGAGAGGTAAATTGGCATAGAGGACCTGAGGTGAGGTCGGTCAGCCTCAGTTTCCTCGGAACCACCCACCAGCCAGTCGGGAGACCCAATGCAAGTCCGGTCGTCTTTCCGAGCCTCAACTTCCCAGTTTGAATTATGGGAGGACTGGATAGCATTGATCTCTGAGGATCCTTCCAGGTCTAAAATTTCAAAGATCCCATTTGTATTAATAATCATGATTTGTACAGTCCTATTCCGGAAAAGGGCAGAAGAAATATTCAGTAATGCATGAATGACAGAGACTATTGACCACGTAGTTTAATTTATTTAAGGCATATACATGGAATTCAAAGGAGAAAATATTGCTCCCGATAACATATTGAACCGTTAGTATCTTTGGCATGGTAAAAGCTTTCCAGAGGGAAAAATTATCCATCAGTGGAAACTTGACATTTTTCACTTCCTGATCCATAACTGCCATTTCTCCAGCATGCTTATATTTACTGCGAAGGGCCAAATGTATGAATGCTTTGGATGAATATTAAATAACTACATAAACGTCAAGGTCACAGTTGCGAGAAAGGCTCAGTGGAGGGCCCTGGGAGGCTTGCATTGATCTCTCATGAACTTCCATTCTCAAATCCTGCTGACAAGGGGAAACAATTGATGTGGACCATTATTAAGGTTTTAAGTGTTTCTCCATTGTTAAAGATCTTTTACAAGCCCGGAGTAACCGATAGCACCCTAGGAATTGGCAAAAGCTTCACTAAGAAATATAGGCTGGCCAGAGAGATAAGTAAAACCCTGAGTGCAGATGTCCTGGGCTGAGCTTACACAGCAAAGGTGGAGGGCTGGGGTGAGCCCAGTGCTGGGGCAAACCGCCCGCCCCCCTGGCACGGCTCTAAGCTACAGAGTTCAGAATGGAAGGCCTGCTCTGTGGTCCTACACATCACGAGCTGCAGAGAGACTGGCTGCCTCTTTTACGTCCACCTCCGTGTTGCCTCCAGCTCCCCTCCCCCGGCCCCTGCCTTTCAGTCCACAGCTGCACGAAGGACCTGACAAGTGTCCGGGGGAATTGGGTGTGTATGAATTATGCAGACCTGCAGATCCAGACTGACTGTCTGGACTCGTGAAGTGCCCTGGATAATTATGTGAATGTCCTGCTGACCTGGAGCTGGGAAGACAGCAGACATTGTGGATGCAGAATCTGGTTTCAAAAAGATCTCAACAGACTGAAGGAGGATGGGCCCAGTCCACTAGATGAACTGAGTAATAGATATAAATGATGACATGAGCATTTCCCCGCACGAGCTCCCCACTTGGTCTTATGCTCGGCCCTTTGCACATTTTAGTTTATTTCTTTACCACGACCCAGTGAGGGTAGGTTTGTAGATCTCCACTTTTAAGAGGAGGAAACAGAGACATGATAGAGTAGAGGAGGGTGCAGGCGCTTCAGAGTCCTTGATTGAGATTCCAATCCCACTTCCACCCCTCAGCTGACAAGTCACACTTCATCCTTAACAGTTAGGGAGAGCGAGGCATCGTGGCTGTATTTCACATGTCAGGTTCTGTGTGCTTAGACCTTTGCGTTCATTATCTCATTTATTCTTCAGAACAATCTCACTGCTAAGTTACAGATTGACGAAGTCACAGAGAACTTAAGTAACTTGCCCAGAGTCACACAGTAAGCAATAGGGCCAGGATCGAGCCCAGGCAGTCGGATTCCAGGGCCCACACTCTTAACACCTGCTCTGCCCTCTCTGCTTCCTATGTTGTAAAAAGGGAATCATATTCTCTGTGAGGGTTAAACTCGGTAACTGATGTACAGTGCCTAGTGGAGTTATCTGGCACATGCTAGGCACTCATAAATGGTTCTCCTCCTCCCGCTCCTCCTTCCTGTTCTCCTCCCCTTCCCCCTCACCCTCTCCTCCCTCCCCTCCTCTTCCTCCCCCTCCTCCTCCTCTTCCTCTTCCTCCTCACCACCATCATATCATCACTAGTTAAATACCTTGTCTGGGGTTAGACTTCATAACTGACAGAGACACGGGATTTGAACCTAGCTCCTGTGACCGCAGAGCTGCCGCACTCTCGGTCCCCCTTCTGGAGGACAAGACTGAGGACAGTCCTTTAGGCCACTATCTTGGTACCCAGTACAGTAGTATCTCCCCGGTGCTCAGTGAATACTCACTAGGCAGGGCTCACTTGATCACTCATTCGCCAAACATTTGCCAGGTCCTGCTCTGACTTGGGGGGTCCGGAGAGGAAGAGAATACAACGCTAACCCTTCTTTTTTCCCCCACCAGGTTCGAATGGTGAAAGATGGTGACCCCTCCTGGAAGCCCACTTTTATTGTGAAACCTGATGGAGGTTGTCAGGGTGATGGAATCTACCTCATTAGAGACCCCAGCGACATCCGCCTGGCGGGCACCCTTCGGAGCAGGCCAGCGGTGGTCCAGGAGTACATCTGCAAACCTCTTCTCATCGACAAGCTCAAGTTTGATATTCGTCTGTATGTCTTACTCAAGTCCTTAGACCCCTTAGAGATTTATATAGCCAAAGACGGACTCTCTAGATTTTGTACAGAGCCATACCAGGAGCCCAGCCCCAAAAATCTGCACCACATCTTTATGCACTTAACCAACTACTCACTGAACATCCATAGTGGGAAATTTGTCCATTCGGACAGCACTAGCACGGGCAGCAAAAGGACTTTTTCTAGCATTCTTTGTAGGTTGTCTTCCAAAGGTGTTGACATCAAGAAGGTCTGGTCTGATATCATCTCCTTGGTGATTAAGACTGTCATTGCCCTGACTCCAGAGCTCAAAGTGTTCTACCAGTCGGACATCCCTGCAGGGAGGCCTGGGCCCACGTGCTTTCAGGTAACCATCGCCGGTCTCCGCTTGAGTCCCCAGGCTTGTCGGGGCCTGTGGAGGGCTCCTCGACTTCCTATGAGATGAAGGGTGGGTGCGGGGGTGGGGGAGGCAGAGGCCGGCAGGGGTGGGTGCTGGTGTGGCCTTTGGGGTGAAACCGGGGTCCAGCTTCCTATTTGCTAGCTGTGTGATCTGAGGCAAGTTACTTCCCTTATTCCACCTGTAAAACGAGACCGATAGTACCTCCCTTGAAGGATTCTTGTAAGAATTAAATGAAATAACATATATAAAGCACAGTGCTTGCCATTTATTTACTCATCCTTCCTTCTAGCATTTTTTACCACCTGCTTAGTAGAGGCCAGGCACTGTCGCAGGTACTGGAGACAGTAAGTCAGGTCTCCCCTGGCCGAGGCATAGACTTTACTAATATGAGAGACAAATGACTTATGAAGCGCCTAGTATAAAGTATCACAAGTGCTTGAGTAGAGTAAGAAATGTACTGGGACCTGGGACATTATGGGGCCATCTCACATCCTCTAGGTGGGAGTGAGGGCGGTCTGGGAAGGCTTTGCAGGAGTGGAGTTGGATGGAGCAGGAGACTTCTGGATAGGGCTGGGGGACACAGTGCTCCGGGGGCAATCATGCAATTCGAGGGGCTGAAAGAGGTTCCGTGTGGTTGGAGGGTGGGGTTTGCAGCAGAGCTTGGAGGGAGATGAGGAAGGAGGAGGCCGGAGAGGTAGGTAGTGGCCGAGTCGCAGAAGGCTGAGGGCAGTGGGGGCCCCCAGGGCATGGTTGCGGGGGACTACTGTGCTCAGGTTCACACATTACAGAGAACAAACCAGATGCAGCAGGGGAGAGTGGATTGGGCAAGGCTGGGAGCTGGGCGTTGGCTGATGAACCGATGGCTTTCATACAAGCAAGAGGTGGTGTTCACTTGGATTAGGAAGGCCTTGGTGTGCCTACGTGACGTCCAAGTGGGGACGTTGCGTGGACACTGGACATTTGGGCCTGGAGTTTAGGAGTGAGAGGCCAGGGCTGGGCTGGGATCTCATCAGTATTCAGACAATGACTCAAGCCACACAAGGCTGCAGGGGACATGGGGCCTCAGAAGACCTCTGTGGGCACCACCACTTAGGCAAGGGAGAGGCGGCTGGGTTGCGGGGACCAGCAAAGGAGGTGAACAAGAAGGGGCTTGAGACGTAGAAGGCGTATCGGGAGGGGGAGCACCCTGAGTGCCGAGGAAGCCGTGCTTGGAGGAGAAGCGGGCAGGGAACAGCAGCGGCAAAAGCCCCTGAGATGTGACTCGAGACCAGAACTGAAACTGCCCACTGAGCTTCATGGTCAGCAAGGATGGTCTTCAGGGGAGTGACGGGCAGGGCCACGGTGTGGTGGGCTGAGCCGGAGTGGGGGCGGGGAGGGGGAGGGACAGAACAGCGTTCTTCTAGAGCATTTGTCTGTGAGGTGGGTGGCCGCGAAGCTGGAGTCCAGGCGCTCAGCAGACACACAGGTTCCCGCCACCAGATAAGTCAGAGCGGGGAGTGGATAGTAACAATGGGCACCTCTGGGACCGTCTCCATCTAATCTTTAAAATTACTTTGTGGCAATCGACGTATAACTAGAACACACAGCACGTGTGTGTAAGCCATGGAGCGGCACAAGAAAATGGTCATCACAAACGCACCTCCCCCCCAAGATCGCCAGCCACTGTGCTTGTCCCCATCCCATTTTCTTACCGACCCCCGGGGTCACACTATCCAGGATTGTATGTGTATCATCCCTTTGCTTTAAAAAATACTTTTGTTATGCACGAATGTATCCCTAAACAGTATATTGTTTCATTTTGCTTGGTTTTGAGCTTTATAGAAACACTACTTACTATATATGGTCTTTTCCAGCATTCTCTTTGGCTGCATGTTGAGGTGGGGTGCTGGGGCTGTTTTGTGGGCTCTGCTGTAGATGCCAGAGTAAATACACACAGTCTGTCTGGGCTGTTCCTCATGCTCCGTCTAAGGCGGGAGAGCACCAGGCTGCGTGGGGCAAGAAGGAGAGGAGAGGCATGGAGCAGGTCTCTAATGGCTGGGCTATTAATTCAATAGCAAAAGAGGGGGCTGGTCCCCAGGGGCAGGCACCAGACAGAGAGGCTCCCTCCGGAGCACGGGTGGGCAGGGTTCCCAGGCAGGCTGGTGGGATCCTTTGGAGGGCGGTTCCTGCAGTGACCAGTTCCAGGAGGGGATGGCTGTCATCTGGAGATCTGCCCTTAGGCACGTGGACCCCAGGCTTTGGGTCGCAGGTGGGATGTGCAGCTCAGCCATCAGGCAGGCAGCTTCGGTCATTAGGAGGTGTAAGGGACAGGATTTAGAGATAGGAACAGAGAAAACACGTCTTATCCCAAGCCGTGAAAAGGCTGGGGATGGGAGATAGTTGCAACGTGGAGGCATCCAGGGGTCATCCCAGGGGGACCATGTGGTCACATCTGTTTGACAGTGACAGCTATTCCAGGAGTGTCATGTGGGCCCGGCATGCACAGCCAAGCCACACGGCCCCAGCACAGTGCGGTGGGAGGGCCAGGGTGGTTGCTGGCTGCCTGTCTGGCTGTGGACAGGCGGCATGAGGCGGACACTGAGGTGGGGCCAGGGGCCCCTGCTCTGGGGAACTGGGGGCAGACAGGGAGGGAGCCACTGGTTTGGACAGATCACGTCTAGCGGATGGAACCACAGCCCTGTGTCTGTTTTCCATTGCTTGACCACACTAAATGCTTCCAGGCCTCGGGTCAGGGGGTGAACCCTGGGCTGGAAGGGACACTCCAAGGGAGAAACTCTTCCTCTTTCCAGCTGTGTGACCCTGGGCAAGCTTCTCAGCCACCCTGGGCCTCTGTCTCCCTCTCTGAATCACCTACACTCACATCCTCATCTGCCTTCTTAGGGCTAGTGTGAAGTATTATAGGTGAAAAACTTTGGCATATATAAAGTGCTAGATGTTTGAAATTTGGTTTACCCTGCATTTCAGATTCACAGTGATTGAGAAAATACTATTCTTTTTCCGTTGGAGGCCTCTCTTAGTTTCTATATTCTTATCACTTGGTAAAACACCTGTTAGTTTGGGTCTCAAAATACCTGAAGTGATTTGAAACCCAAAGATGCGAGGAGAAGGTAGGATTCTGCTTTTGAGTTGCTGTGTGATCTTACATGAGTCACTTCACTTCTCTGTGCCTAAGTTTCCTCACCCTCCTTACAGGGTCGTTGTCCGCCCCACAGGAGATAAAGAGCACAAAGGACTTTGCAAACTATAATGTGCTCTGCGTGTATAATGAATTCTTTCTCTGTCGTGGAGCCCCCTTTGCCTGTAGCCCGGGCCCAGCCCACGCTGCAGCATTCCAGGACATAAACTCTCGCCAACCACATTACGTTCATCTTCAGCATGTGATTGTGACCCCTTTCCAATCACAGCCACAATAACTACTTGGGAAATTGTGGTGGCCCGGAGCAGCCGCTGGCACAGCTCAGGCTGTGGGCAGTTTTCCTGTAATCTGTTGCCTAGGAACGTGGCTGCCCTGTCATTCTAGCCCAGCCCCCGTCATCACCCAGCCACTGCCACCCCCTTAACTGCCCCCCCCCCCCGACACATCCTCCTGTCAGTCTTCCTAGGGGCAGCAGTGTGACGCTGGCTTCAGCAGTAAGGTCCATCTGGGGGTAGATGATTCATGTGGCAGAAAAACACATGCAGAGGAAAAGCTTTCAGCTCAGCTTTTCAAAAACATTCTTTCCCAATCCCATTGCTTGTTCTCTATCTTCCTTTAGCTCTGTGTCTAATTCTCTCCTCGGCTCGTGATCCTTTCCCTCAGATGTCTGGAGGAGACCCCTTTCCTACAGCCTAAGGTGCTTCTCTTTCTTCCCTGTTCTTTTGATCTCCTGCTTGCCTTCAGCCCCAAACGCCCCACAGGAAGGGGATGCTGAAGCAGCCTTGTGGCCCCATGAGGACTTGGGTTTTGCCCTCAGATGCCCTGGGTTTGAGCTAATACCAACTCCTCTTTCCGGCTGCTCTAGCTGGTGAGCTTGCAAGTTAACCTTTCTTTGCCTCAGTTTCCTTATCTGGCCCGCCACGCAGAGCAGTTCGTATCTCTCGGAGAGTCTGTGCATTCCCAAGCCTGCATGTTTGTTCTCCTGTCTTGGCCGGGCATGTTCTCTCTAGTCCCTGTTTAATTTTTGGAATTCAGAGCTTCCGTCAAGGGGCTGCTTACATCCCTCCTTCTCTGTAAAGCCTTCCTTGACCACTTCTGATACATAAGCTATAAGGAATGTTCCCTGGGCATGTACTGAGATGAGCCCCCAAGCTAACTGTGGGGCATGTGGTCATGGGTATGACACAGTCCTTGCCCCTAAGAGGGGCGCAGGCTAGCAGGGAAGACCGACACCTGGGGATCACAATTCTTTGTCATAAATGCTGTAGGAGGGCCTGTGCACAGAGAAGGGAGTAATTAACTTTGCCTGACCCAGTCAGGGAGGGCTTCCCAGAGGAGGAACTGTTTTAGCTGGAGCTTAAGGCTTAGAGAAGAATTTGCCAAGCAGAAGGGGGTGAGGGACCCCACAGTGGCCTGCTTTTCCTTCCAGCTCACTGGCTGCTGCTTCTGTGCCCCTTCTTCTTGAGCTTCAGTGTTGGGGACTCCCAGGACTCAGTGCTTGGAAAGTTCTCTTACCTACAATCACTCTCCAAATGACGTCACTCAGCCCCATGGCTTTAGGTACCAGCTATATGCTGTTGACTCCTAAATTTTCATCTCCAGTCTTGACCTCACCTTGAGCTCCAGGCTGGCATATCCAGCTGCCCCCTTTCATTTTTTTCACCTGGATGTGTAGTGGGACTTTCACACCCAACATGTCCCAAATCAAACTCTTGAGTTCCCTGCCAAACCTCATCTCCCATTGTTTTCCTATTTCAGTAAATGCACGGCATTCATTTGGTTCCACAAACTGAAAACCTGAGCCACCTGCTTTGTTCTTTTCCTCTCTCTC